ATTGATTTATTAATATTAATATAAGCATCAAAAAATTACAATAAGCTAATTTTTATCAATTACAAATATTATAATAACTATTAAAATTTCTTTATTTTGCCAACATACAATTATACAAAAGGATTATAATATTTACTATTTCATTTTACAAACAATAATTCATTAACAGTCTCTGGTTTTAAACTGGTCCGAGCTTTAGTAATTTGATTTCAAGCATCACTAAAAAGCCGCTCACTTGGAACAGATGTGGCTGGTACACTCAAATATTTTCTAGTTATTTTAAATAAAGTTGGAAATTTTTTTTTATTATTAATCCACCATTGAAATGGATCCATTTTGGGTATAGCTTGTGAAGTTCTAAAATTATCCAAATAGCAATTGATTTCATCATCATTCTCATCTATTTCATATGATCCAAATAAACGCGATTTAAAATTTGTTCATCATCATTATCTTCATCACTTTCTTTATCATCAAGCACACTTTCATTATCTTCAGAATTCTCATCTATAGTAATATTATCATTATCTAAAAAAAGAATTTAAATATTAATAAATATAATTTAATTATTTTTAATTATTTAAATATTATACTTACCACTTTCGTTAATAATATTATCATCTATTTCTGGTATATAATTATAATATAATACATAAATAGATGGATATATTAAAGAAAGTGTACAATATTTTTGACCATTTAACCATTCTGTTGCTTCTTCAATTGGTTTAAAAAGAACAATTAAATTTTTTAATAAAATCCATTCATAATCTAAAAGAATTCGCGTTCTTAATTTTTCATAATCTTTTTTAAATTCATTCTTTAGATATAAATTTAAAAGAACCTGTTTAATAGGATCTTTTAATACTTGTAATCTTTTCTAAGAAGCTAAAGATGATTCCCATCGAGTCTTGGCATCATTAATAGTTCTCAAAATTTTTAATAGATTTTGATCAATTGATGTCAAATCAAATAAAATTGAATCATTTTCTAGTTGTATATCATATCTAGATGCAATTTCTTTCTGAGACTCTTCTAACTGTTCATTTTGTTTTGGAGAATTAAAAAACGAATTAATTTCTTAAATCGTTTGGTATATAGTTTAATTTTTTCTAATCCTTTAATAACACAAAGCAGCAATGTATGTGTACTGCATGGAATATGATTAACATCATCCCATTCATGAATAGTTTTAATCATGTTACTACCATTGTCAGTAATTGCTACATTTACTTTACTATCTAATCCAAGCAGTTGAAGTTTAGTTAAAATAGTTTGGCAGATATTATTGCCACTATGAGGATAATTAATTGGTGCAACACAAATTAATATATCATATAATTTCATATTTCCTGTAAGCCAATGATATGTAATTCCAATATAACCTGATTTTACGCTAGATGTCCAAAGATCTATAGTTATAGCTGCTATATCACAGGTATGAATAATCATTTCCTTTATAGCTTGAAATGCAGCTTGATATCTATAACTAATATCCTTTTTGATCGTTACATAACATGGTAACTTAAATGCAGGATCAAGCTTATTAATCATACGTAAAAATCCTTCTACATTTGCTGAATTAAAAGGTTGAGAATCTGTTACTAGCCAATCAGCTAAAGCATTCCTTAATTCACGTTACTTAGGTTCTTTATGTAGCAAAACTTTTTTTTATTTGATCATCTACTTTTAATTGTTTCTAAAAAGTAAAAATAATATATTAATTTATATATATCTATCTGTAATAAAAATGCGTAATGATAATGTTATCTTACCAATTTTTCTTTTTCAAACTCTTTATGAACGGAATTTAAATGATATTGTTGAGTGTTGGTTTGAGTATTATACATGCAACTATAATTACACTTTTCTTCTATTCCATTTTTTAATATTTTATATCTGCAATAAGCATGTCTATCAGTTTTGATTCCAAAATGCTTTCACACCCAACTTGTTTTATTATTTCCAAGTTCAACCCATTGAGGTTCTTGCTGATTAATATCTGAAGATAAATCAACAATATCATTTCTTTTAGTTAACTAGGTCGAAATAATATTAGTTTAGCATTTAGATTTTCTATTTTGGTCTGGCATTTAAAAGGATATTGAAAAAAAAGTTTGAATTTTTCACGTTAAAATTAAACGCGTTGTGATGATCATCCGATATTTAAAAATTTAAATATTATAAATAAAAAATCTGATACTTTGAAATGCATTTTTATGACGAAAAAATCGAATAATGCTACAACTATGACTATTTTATTTGAAAAGCTTCA